CCCCAAAACCCCAAAACCCCAAAACCCCAAAACCCCAAAACCCCGCATAAGCACTTGATATTGAATGAGTATAAAATAATTTGAAGAAAATGAACAATCGTAGCCATAACCATCATATAAATCCCTTTATTAATGGCATGCTCAGTAGGAAGAGGAAGTTCCAAGAGATCAGTAATGATAGCGAGATGGGCACTGACTCAACTCTCCACACCAATTCGCCTCTCTCTAGTCCTGAAGAAGCTGAATTCGGAAGGTAGGTGAAAATTCTTCAAAAAGAAACCTCATTTAATTCACTCATTTTCTGTAAAAGCATTAGCTAATTATGCGTATAGATCTCAGAAGAGAAGACTCACGACTGAACATTTGTCTCCTGAAGAAGAGGAAAAGATGGTTGAGATAGGCCAAGCCAAGCAGATCCTGGAGAGGAACATTCAAAATTCCCGATTGGAGTCATCTCTTCGCTATTCAGGCTTTGTTTCACCAATAGCCTCACCTTCCAGCCCCCAAGGTAAGAATTCAGCCAAGTTTTCAAAATCTCATGGATTCTGACGTCCAAAATTTATCGAAAATTTTAGTTTTAAATGTTAGATTTCTTCTAAAAATTTGGTTGATTGCCAAATTTGCATTAAATTAGTACTAAAATATTTATAGAAACACAGCATCAGCATGAGCCCCAGTCGATTGAGCCGGAGGAGCCAGAAATGATGCACAAAAGGCACTATTTCTCCTTAAAAGGAGATATAGACTACAGCAAAGATCTCACTGAAGAGCAAATAGCTGAACTCAGAAAAGTCGAAGCTTATTATGCTTCCAGAAACCTCATGATCGTCAGTACCTTCATCAATCAGTAAGCCTCAGGAGGGCTGTAGGCCTCCCAATCAGGAGGGGGCATGCCGATTAAACATTAACCCTAATTTTCGAGTAAGGTTGCACTCTTTTCTATTTTGCGATAACCTGAAGGGGTTTTGGGGTTTTGGGGTTTTGGGGTTTTGGGGTTTTGGGG